CTTTTTCATCAATCCTTTCGAATGTAGTATTTGTTAAAATGCCGTTTATAAAGGAGAAACCACTGGCTGTTAGTGAACAGACTTAACTTAATCTGTTCATGAAGAAGCTTTCCTGTTTAACGTTACTGTTTAACAAGCTGTACTCTTCGTGAACAAGATGTTCGTCATGAACATTCTTTGCGTTGCATTAGTAAGATTGACTGTTTATTACCAAGCTACTGTTCATACAACTGAACACTGTTACTGAACACTTTACCATTATTACATTACAACTGTTTCTTAACAAATTTACCGTTTGTTAAAAGAATGTTAGCGTTTTATGAGACTGCCGTTGACTGTTACTGACAGACTTTAAGAGCTACGTAAGTTCCCCGGTCTTCTAATAACATGTTCATTTTCCACTATAATCTAGCTTGTCCATAATTACTATAACATTTGTTTGTCTGTTTTGTAATTGTGAAGTCCGGATCTTTCCTTAATTCAATGGTATAACTTACAAATCATACCACGGGCGGGGATAGAACCCGCGATCGGAGAATCTCAAAACTCCAGACCGTCGCTTAGCCACTAGACCGCTAGCCACAATAAGATTCGTCCAACTAGGTATATTTCTACACCATAGGAAGGTTAGCATAGGCACCACTGTGACCACAAATTCAAGTTTTTACAGATGAATCCCCAGCTAGCGTGGCCGTGACGAATCTAGCTACAAGTCCCCTCAAATCGCGTCATTACGATTTCTGACCAATAACTTACAAATCTTTGAGGACAGGTGTGTTGCAGAAGTCTGAGCGAAGCTACAACCAATTGTCCTCTAAGATTTAAGTTATATCATGAATTAAGGAAAGATCCTGGACTTTCACCTTACGAAACAGACAAAGCAAATGTGATAGTAGATATAGGGGAAAAATGAACTTGTTATTAGAAGACTGGGGAGCTTACGTGCCTCTTAAACAGCCACAAAGCAAATGCCATCATATTCACTCGCCAGTGAGCTCTCTCTGTTTTCATTGTAACTGCTGTATAAATTCGAATTTTCCAGAGTAATTAATAATATTTTTAATTTCTAGACTCCTCCAACCCGTAAAAATCAATTCATTTCTTCCGGTGCTTTGAGGGAATTAATCCAGTAATTGAAAAAAGCGTTTTAATTTCCGTAGAGTTATTAAATTACATTTTATTCTCTTTGTGTAGAAGCTCACTATTTGAGGTTGTGGTGGTCTATTCTGAGCTGTTGGCCATGCTTCATAACGTCATGTAAGTGCTTTCACTTGTGGCTAGTGTCTGTTATTCTCCTTAAATTATTAACGGTGTTGGTTCCCCAAGCACCTCTAAGTCAATCTTACTTTCTGGCTAACCGGGGTGAAGAAATATTTTCTAATATACACACAGCGGCCACTTTATTAGGAACACCTGCTTGTTGGTTAGTAAGACATGTGCGTAACAGTTAGGCATCTTTATTCCGAAACATTTCTGCCTCTACAGTAGGCTTTCTTCAGTTGAATAAATAGGCGACAGAGGCAGTGGAGATATGAAACGATGTGATCAGTATAAAACCCTAAAAGACGTATTTAAAAGGAACCAGCCCCACCATCCTTGAGTTTTTGGGACTATCGATTTACATCGTCTTTGCATCTCATTTGCCCCCTTTTATTTCGCGGAAAAACCCAAATTGTGTAAGCGAAATTTTTTTTGGGAAAATAAAGAAACTTAACTGTTCTCGGTGTTTTATTTATCAAATTTCGTATTTGTACCCTATATTTTTATACCGGGGTGTTTTGCAAATATCTAATCAGGCTTTTCGTAGTAGTTTCATGTTAAAAACTTCAGACGGGGTCACGATTTTTAAGTTGTTTGTAGGGGACCCCCTTCCACCCCTTTAAAAAAATAAAAAAAAAACAAAAATGGAAACAAAATTTAAAAAATTTAAAAAAAGGGGAAAACCCAAAATTTTTTAAAAGGAAAAATTAAAAGATTTTTGGAATTTTTGGGGAAACTTAAAAAATTTTTTCCAAATAATAAAAAAAATGCTTTTTTTTGTTGGGCAGGGATGGAAAACCCGGAAACGCTTTAATAAAAAAAATAAAGGTTTCCGGCATGAATATACATTAAAAAGGGGGTTTTGGAAAATCTTACTGGTAACCACAAAAAAAAAAAGGCCTAGTATCTCCTTAATACCCTAAAAATTTGGGCGGGGGGTTGGCTTTCCAAACCAACCCAACCGGGGAAATAGAAAACTCCCCAAGGTAAAATTTAACAAATAGAAAAAAACTTTTCGACAGCCCCCAAGGGGGGGGGGGTCCAGTAACTTGCAAAGGCCTTTTGTTGAAAAATTAAACCCCCAAATTTTTCCCCCCCCTTTTTATTCAACCCAACCAGGGGGGGAATTTGAAAATAAAGTATTTCCCGGAAAAAGGGGGGCGGAAATTTGATTCTAAAAAAATGCTATCTCTTGGGGTTTTAGACGAATCGATTGGGGGGGAAGGGTTGAAAAAATTTGAGGCCTTGGAAATATGCCTATTAAAGTTTCCAGACCTTGTTTTTTTAGCACTTTAATTCCAGATTAAAAAAATTTTTCCCGCACCTTGTAATTTTAGCCCTTGTAATTTTTCCCGCACCTTTAAGTTTCGCCCCTTGAAAATTTTCCAGCACCTTGATATTTTCAAACACCTTGTTTAACCCTTAAAGGCCCAAACTTTATTTTTACTTTTTTAAAACACTAAAGTTGTAAAAAAAATGTGATCTTTTTTGTTTTAAAAATTTAAAAAATGAAAAAAACTTTTTATCTAAATTTTTTTTTTTTATTTAAAAAATATGAAAAAAGAGAAGATTTACTTTTTTTATCTACGAATTTAAAAGTCGATCTGTTTGGACGTTTAAGGGTTAATCCAGCCACGCCCTTTTCGGGGGGGA